AACCAACACATTTCACATCTACAATCTATGAAAAGCTGGACAGGAGACAACCACACATGCAAACCCATGAAAAGGCAACGGTAAGAAAGCAGTAAAGATTCCTGAAGATAAAATGAAGGTTGCCATTCCAGAGTGAGTACACCTTTAAAATGACAAGCATGAGCTAAGTGCATTAACATACTGGTCTGACAGCAGTCACGCTTGGTTTTAGACAAATTAAAGTTTAAGGTTATCAGCATCTGTTTTAGATACTTTTCTGGTCATTTCCACTCTCCTATCAATACCATCTTCAGTCAAGAGAACTAAGAATCAATACAAGCCCTTCAACACCCTGTTCAAACTGTACCGTTCTTTCTTCAGCATCTCCCTTTCCTCTTGAAGGCTGCTACTTATCACAGAAGTCGGGCTTCCCTCTTGTACAGTGGTAAAGGCCTCAGAGCTTGACCCCGCTGAAAATCGAGCAGCTGGAGACTGGCTGACAGGCGTTGAAGTGAAGCACATCTTTGGCTTTGAAAGAGGGCGTTCAGCACTCACAGGAGTTGGGTTGATTCGCCTTGATGGCTTGCTTTTGCTGAAGGAGTGAGAAGGGATTTCATTGACATCACCAAAACTACAGAAGAAATTAAATCTCAAGACTGATACACATTAAACTCTTCCAAAAGAACCTAATGCTAAAACAAAACAGATATCAAGCCAGCACTGTGAACTTCTAAACTTTATCTGTAGATACTGTCAGTACTCAAGGAGCTACGGATGGCAAAAAACAGCCTGCTGCCCCTTGCTGCCAACACATGTAATTATTAACAGTGCACAGAATAGTGACAAAGACTGCCAAGCAGCTACTCCAAACAACTCTGGTTTAGAAGGACATCAGGTGAATTATTTTTGCATGAAACCGATTCACCAGCAGTTTCTAACAACCGAAAATAAACAAGCTACCACTATATCCCAGTAATGTGTTATCCTTAAAGTTCAGGGGAACCCATTCTTCCCGCTTATGCTACCTAGACTGGACCTTCAGGAAGAGGCTCTGTAAGAGGCACTCCCCGGCAAACACAGAGATTATCAATTTTGTGCTGGAAATTTAATTGTCCAACTAGAAAGCGATCCCTTCAGAGGCCAGTGTCTGGCTTACAGAGTAAACAGCCTGACATGAAAGCATTATACTTGCTAATAAAAGTTTTGAAGAGAAAAAATCAAAGAGAGTAGTGAGGCAATCACAAGACAAACAGCTGCCCCAAAGCAAAAGTAGTCTCAGCAGGGAGAGAAGGGCCTGCTGAAGACCAAAGTGAATATGAGAATTAGCCATCTATTTGTCCATAACCACATGACATAAATAAAGCTGCACACTGATGTTCATTACCAGAATTCAGAAAATATCAACCCAAAAGCTTTTTTCCTTGCATCAGTAAAGCTGAAGAGCCTTCCAGGGCTGCACTTGATCAGCAATTGCTATTGTGTTAAACAAGAAACACGTCAGCATTATCTAAGCTCTTCTTGTTAGAACACAGAAGGACAAAGATGCGTTCAGCTTTACGGCAGCTGGCCTGTGCACCAGCAAGCTGCAGGCACAACACAAGTGAGAGGCTGAAGGGGCACCGAGGTGAGCACACAGAGCCAGAAGCTGACTGCCTGTGACAGCAATATTCCCCTCTTCAGCAGCAGTTACAAGGTTGTTCTGGCCAAGGAGAACAAGAAGTCAGCAGCAGGGTATTGTTTGTGACAGCATTCAGAGGTGCACAACAGAACTGAACAGCAACCTGCAGGACAATCCAAATGAGACAGCGAGGCGGACACTCTCTTACTTTGTCCAGCCAGAGGCGGTACCCATGGGTGGGAACTCCTCTAGGTTGTTAAGATTCAGCTGGCTGGGAGGGGTTCTAGCAGCAAGAGGCACTTCGCTCCGCTTCCTTCTCCCTCCACTCCACGATGCACTTTCATTCTTTCCATCCTCCTCTTCGGCCAAGGAACGCCCCAGGTCCCGAGCAACCTGCCGTCCAGAGGCACTGATAGAGCTGCTGCCCTTCCTCCTGCCCCGCCTTGCTGGCAAGGCCTCTGGTGCAGCAGCAAGGAAGCTCCCCAGGTTGGCCTTCTGAGCCGAACGCTTCTCGCTGTGGGTGAGCACAGGGCTGTACCCAAAGCTCGGGCTGCTACTGGACACCACGCTGGGGAAGTCGCTGCAAGGGCTTGACAGGTTCGACCCAGAACAGGAAGAGGAACCACTGGATACAGCAGCGGGGGAAAAGCTGGTGTCTGTGGTGCAGGAGGTCACCGAAGTCCTTTGGGAAAAGAGCTGCACTCGGCTGCTAGTCGCATGGCCTGCTCTCCTTTCTGGTCCTGTCCTTTGGCTCCTGTGGGCCTTGGAATTGGGAGTTTTAGCAGGAGTGGAGGGTCCATTAGTCAGTATCTGGCTGGTCTGCTCCCTTAAAAAATTCAGCAGAAAAGGCACAAAGTCCTTCTGAAGCAAACTGAACGATACCAGCTTGTCATGGATGTGATTCTCCTACAAAAGAGGACAAAGCATTAATATAAAGTCGCTTTCTCATTCTTTCTTTTCACTTGTCTAGACTCATTTAGTACTGCAATACACAATAAAAAACAACATGATATGCCAAAGTAGGCCAATACAGTTCAAATGGCCTTAACATAAGCCTGAAAGTCAGCCTCCACACAGTCATTTTGGCACAGGATTCCCAATGGAGTCACTCACTTTGGCCTCCAGTTGGGAACTAGCAGAGCTGTCCCTGGAAACAGCAGTGACACTTACTGGAGCTCTGGCCAGCAAGAGCCTGGAGCAACCGGCACCTCTGCATCCAATGTTTCAAAGTAGGGCATGGATATTCAAGCAGCTAATTCTAACATGAAAAACAAAAGCCTACAACTTCTCTGTTCCCTACTTACGCCACCTACATCCACAGAGGGGTGCTGTGAGAACAAGTGTTTAAGTACTTGGAGTCCTGTGGTGCCAAATATCAGACGATTTCAATTACGTATTTCCTCTTGCTTGGGAACCCCCAGAGAGCTAACAGATACTGCACAACTTCAACATGCATGACGTTTTAAGTAACAAACCTTTAAAAAACACACACACACACACAAAAACTAATAAAAAAAAAAACACTCATAGAATCAACATGTTATAAAACTAAACAGGTGGTGATCTTCCCATGGTAACACTAGACAAAAAGACTTCATATCCCATGCATGGCTCAAAGCCTTGTACGCTAGGAAAAGTGTCTTTTGTTTCTAACAACACGCACATTCCTGTTTCTTCTCTATGGTACTCTGTGCCATCTCAACAACAGTAGAAGCTCACAGGCAGCAACTTCTTCCTTAGTAACATGAAAATAATTGCATGCATGTTTTGTTTCATTTCGATACCCATCTCCACTTTAAGAAAGAAGAGCAAGCACTGTTCTGGAAGTACTTTTTACAAAAGAAGGCAGTGAGAGCAGGGCCATGATCTCACTCCTGCCATCCTCGACACCAGTGCTGAAACTCTTCCTCGAAAGCATGACAGCACAGCAGCTCCCCTAATGAAGCCTGAGGCTGGCACAGCCTTGGTACAGGGCGGACTCAGTATGCTGATGCCCTGGGCAGACCAAGGCCAGCACACAAAACCCATCAGGTGCCAGCAGTGCAGAATTGCCCCACAAAAGCCAGGGAAGATGTATTCTATCATTCCTCAGTTGTCCGTCTATGTTTAGAGTTGAGACTGCTTGCGGTCTGCACACAAGGCCAGTCAGCTCCTCAAATCTTTCCGAGCACAGCATGCCTTTATTCCTCTCTCACTGTGTGAGTTAACAGAGGATCATAGCTCTGCTGTAGGATGAGGGCATACTGTCAGCTCCCAGCCTCCTACTGGCCTTCTCACCCCACACACCACCCACAGCCCCCGGCAAAGCAAACCCCCCGTTAGCCAGCCCACAGCCTCCAGTTCTGAGCAGTCAGCACCTCAAATTGCACAGCACCCACAGGCCCACATCTGCAGCCCACAGGTTAAGGAGGGAGAAGTTTGGGATGACAGCAGTAAGCTCTGATCTTAATTAAAGGCATTCTAAGGAGCTCGGGCTGAAAATGCTTCACGTACAGACCTTGTTCTCCACGATGTAACTTTAGTATAAGCGCTCCTGGTCAACGTGTGGTTACAAAGGCTTCTACAACCACGGCAACACCAACGCTCGGCCCGCAGCGCGTTACAAAGCTCCGCGTGCTCGGATGCAGCGGATCCCCAAGCTCAGACCAGCAACAGGTCGCGAGATACCACAGCGTGCGCACGGGGCCGCGAGCAGCTCCCGACGCGTAGCGGGACGCGGCAGCGGCGCCGCTCCCACCGGCGAAGCGGCGGGAAGCACAGCCCCCCGCGTCACCGCGCCTCCCCAGCCGGCACGCGGCGACGGGGCACCGCGCTCCGGGCCACGTTCGCCGCCATTCCACCTCCGCCTCGCCCCGGGGCCCGGCGAGAGGTAGCGGTCCCGCGGCCCCCGTCCCGCCTTCCCGCCGCGCGCTCGGCGGAGCTCGCTCCCCCGGCGGCCGCCCCCGGGCCTCAGGCGGGCCTCCCCCGTGCGCAAAGTTTCCCGCTCGGCCCGCAACGGGACGCGATACCCCCCGGGCCGCAAAGTGCGGGGCGGTGCCGCCGCGCGTTACCTCAGCCGGGCGCTGTCCCGGCGCGCGCCGCAGCCACCGCACCACGGCGCCGACCGCCACCTCCTCGCTCAGCAGCAGCTCCAAAACCGCCGCCATTCCCGGGCGCCTCAGCAGCCGCCGCCGAGCAGGCGCACAACCCGCGGCGGGGCCGGGCGGGGCGGGCTGGCGGCGGGGAATCCCGGCGGGGGGGAGGCGGGCGGGGGCGGAGCGGGCGCGGGCCGGGCCCGGGGCCGGGCCCCCTCCCCATGTCAACACGCGGGGCACGGGGCGCCTGCGCCGGCCGCGCGCGTCCTTTCCTCTCATGCGCGGTGTTCCCTTCCCCGGCGGGGCGCGGGGCCCGGCCTAGCGGCGGCGGCGCCCGCGGGCCGGGCCGGGGGAAGGGGCAGCGGCGCCCCCCGCGGGCCCCCCCGGCCCCCAGCGGCGGAGAATGGCCGAGGACTCGCCCAAGCGGCGCAAGGCCAATTTCAACGAGGCGGAGACGGAGGTGCTGATCGAGCAGGTGCTGAAGCACGAGCGGCTGCTGTTCGCGGCGGGGCCGGGCCGCGCCTCCCCGGGCCAGAAGCGAAAGGTGTGGGAGCTGATCCGGCACAAGGTGAACCCGGTGGCCGCCTGTCCGCGCGACGTGGAGGATCTGAAGAAGCGCTGGCGGGACCTGAAGCGCCGCGACCGCAGCAAACTGTGCCGCCTGTCTCAGGGCGGCGGGCCGCCGGGCCCCGCTGCAGCCCTCGGCCTCTTGCTGGCCCCCGAGGAGCTGCCGCCCGGCGCCGCGCCCGTCCGCCGCCACCACCACCACCACCACCACCACCACCACCTGCACCCCCGCGCCTACGGCTCCCTGCTGCACGCCGAGGCCGTGCCCATCGTGGGCGGCATCGACACGCTGGAGCTGCCCGGCGCTGCCGTGGGGGAGATGGGTGAGTGTGGGGCGCCGCCTTCGCGCCTTGACGCGCAGTGCTGCGTGCAACCAGCGGCCCGTGACACTACGGCGCAACGGCACGTGGGAGCGGACCTCCCGTCCCGGCGGCGCTAAGCCCCTTCTGCCCACGTTTGTAGATCCCGTTCTTGAAATTGCAGAAATAGAATGCCAGCGTGCAATCCTAGGCTGCCCGAAGTGCTGTGACTACGTATGGTTTTGTGTCCCAGAGAGAGGGGGCGTTAACGCGCTGAAACAGCAGCTGCAGTACACAGGGATTCCCCGCGATCGGCGTCACCGTGCACACACACAGCGCAGAACAAGATTTGTCTTTTGGAACCTGCATCTTAGCCCCCGCGGTGGGGACAGTAAGGGAATTACAATTCACGGCTATTCAGTAAATGGAATTTTAGGGTTTTCTTCCCTCGTATAGAGGTGATATGTGTTCTAAAAGCGTCAGCACAGTGCAAGTTGCTGCGGTAGGGTCTTGGTTCAAGGGTGGTGGGTGTGCTGAAGGGTAAAAGCACGCCTGACTTGACTGTGAAGTTCCTCACTGACTTTGCTCTGCTTTTCCTCTCCCCTCATCTCTAGGATTTAACGATGATCCCGGCCCATCTCATCAACCCGGTCTTGAGAAGATAAACCTAAAAGAAGAGATAGTGGTGAAAGTGGTAGAGCCGGAGGAAAGCTCTGAGGACATGGCAGTAGTCCCACCTAGCCAGGAGCAGCTGCCTTATCTGGGGACATCGGGTGGTGCTTCCTCAGGGAAGGTAAAAGCCAAATCAAAAGGCAGATCCCAGGCAGACCAAATCGGAATAACTGAAGCGGACCTAGTGCAGATTCAGCAGACCCAGATGCAGGTGATTCAGTCTGGCTTTGACAGTGTCAACCACAATCTTCAGCTGCTGCAGCAAGGCATGCAGGATCTGAGTAACAGCCTCAGCATCATGGCGCATACGCTTGTTGCTATCAAAAACGTCTACATGAAAAACAACACCGGCCCAACTACATACACCACCACCTCTACTCAGACCACAGCCGGGTACCTGAGCCCAGGTTCTCCCCAGGTTTCCCCTGCTGAGGACAGAGGCCGGGTGCAGATGGCTGGGAGCAGCAGCAGGAGCAGCAGCTGCAGTTCCAGCTCTACATCCCAGGAACCAGGTCCTTCAGAGTTTCCCAGGCCCCCCCTGAGAACCATTAAGAAAGAACATCCAAACGGCTGCTACTACTTCTGCTTTGCAGACATGTAAAACTTGAATATATGTACAGTGACTGTGGTGTTAGGTGCTGTTGTTTGTTCTGCTCCAGCCTGTGACTTGAAGGAGCAAAGTGGACTTGCCCCCCACATTTTTTCCCAGTGGGAAATGTTTCTCTATAGGAGGTGGCATTAAACACTAAATACCAGTTCCGTTTGTTAACTCAGTTTCAGTTGGCTAATGTTTTTCTGCTGTTCTCTTTATCCTCTTACTCTCTCAAAAACAAACAGATTTATTTTGGCTATAACTCTTGTCTGTATTACTCTTTGTTTAATGTGACCTTTTGGAAAATAAAAGGCATGAGATTTGGGTGAAAAAGTAACGTTATGGTTACTGACTACCAGGAGCTGTCTTACATGAGTTGCTTAGTTTTTGTTGGTTTTTTTTTTTTTTTAATTAAACAAATGGCAAAATGAGCTGGTGTTTTTAAGTAGTTGCTTTTTGTAATACTTATAACTGTTCGCTTGTTTGCTGTTGGTTTGAGGTTTTGTTTTTCTAAGTCTCAGCTGTGCAAGGAAGATATGGCAGGAAGGGTCGGATACACCTGCTTCCCTGAGGAATGGTTTCAGGATTGAGCTGTTGATGATGAATGTGCTTCTCCAAATTCGTACAGCATTGCTCCATTTGGCTGCTGCTCATTCCCAGCTTGCCAAATGCATCTTCTCAGAGGCATTTTTTTTTACTTCACTAGCAGAGCAGGCTATTTCTTGTGATATTATTAAGATAGAGACATAAAACAAAAACAGTAACTGATGAGTGATGCCTGGCTTTGACATGGAATGACATTTCTTATTATGGCTTGTAAGCAGATTTTGCAAGCTTTCTGGAATTGGTATCACTTGAAATACAAAGAACAAAAAAATCTTTCTGCATTGTTTTACATTTAGACTTGCTGTTAAATAAATTACAGGAGGCAGCATCTGATTTTGAATAGAAAAATGTTCTTGCATAGCTCATGAAAAGAAGCTTTTATCTTTACCTATCAGAGAGATTAGTAAAATCTGCCATGCTTGTACATCCGAGGAAGAAGAACTCTGAACAGGAGGAAAATATTACTATTGATGCTATCGTTAAGATATGTGGAAGACTGGTGTTTAGAGCTTGTATATTAGTGCCTTGTAAAAAGCACTCCATTTATATTTTCAGCGTACTCACTGAAGGAAATACAGCAACCCTCTCACCTGCACTGTTATCCTATCACCTAAAAAATCATTCAAGTCCTCCTCATAAGCATTTATCACTAGTATAAAATTCTAAAGATAAATTGGCCTATGGTAATGGTCACTGGTTTTCCAGTGATTCTGCACATATGTTTTTGTTGCACACAAAGTGGCAACCCAACTACCCCTTTTAGCAACATAAGAACAAGTAAACATCAGGCAAGGTATGTATATACTTTTATGTCAACTTGGACAGTGCACTATACTACACAAAAATACAGGACTAATTTCTTCCATCTTTAGGGGGGGGAGTAGGCCATTTTCATTGAAAAGTGATAAATATGGGAGCTAACAGTAGCTGCAAATAATGCAAGGAGTGCATCACCAGTTACATACTATTAGAATAATTACCTCAAAGCAAGGGATTTCATCTTAGGCCTGTGCAGGAGTCTGATGGAGCTCAGGACAGCTGGATTTTAACAGGTTTCTTCTGGGGCGTTGCTGAGCAAAGAATGGAAACAAAATTATTTAAGAAGCCCAAAAGAACTATTTAAGAAGGAAACGGTAGAAGAGGATGACAAATCCTGAAGCTCAGCCAGGTGCAGTTCAATTGCAGCCACGACAGGGGATTAACACAAGGTCTATGCCCTGGAGGAGGTTCTTGGCTCCTGGATTCCCTTATAAAAGGAGATGGTGTGGGTGACAACTACCACTACCTTACTCATAAAATGCTGATACCAAAAGCAGGATAGAGTTAACCTCTATATGTAAGCATTTATATTTCTCCTCCTCAGTACAGATGGAATCTGCCAAGCCTTCATTTGTGTTTTGTTCGCATACAAAAAGCAGCCTCTCAATCTGTGATATCCCAGGTTGAGTTAGAAAAATGTTAGTGAATCAGAAGTTTACCTGGTCTTTTTGGGCAGCTATTTGAGCTTGTCCAGAATGCAGTAGCCAGTTCTTTCTGTATTTCAATTCTTTCTTCAATTATTGATTCTTTAATTTCATTTACTCCAGCCTTCTTAGGGAAAGCTAGCTTGTGTGTGCTACACAGCTGTCTCACGTTTATGTTTCCAAGAGAGAAAGCTACGGTCCAGGTGCAAAGAAGTGCAGCAAGATTTCAAGAGCTAGTGGACTGTGTCTGCTGTGGTTGTGAAGATGGTTAAAAAAAGAAAAAAGTGCTTCAGAAATCAGATGAGCAGATCTCAGCACTGATCTCCAGTGGTGTTCCTGTTCCAGCCTTGGATCTTCAGTCTCTCAATTGTACAGCCTAGGTATGTCGGAGCTGAGTTGAGACCACTGTCTCATTTTGGTTATGATCACTATTTATGTAATATTCTAAGTAACTTAAGATACTGAGATATCTCACCTCCAGTACAGAGCATGTACACTTTTATTTTCAAATTCCAATTAATAAAGCTGACTTTCTGTTTCTTTCTGTGTCTTTTCTGTAATCAGATAGTGGCTTTACTGGGAACACTAAGAACAAACACCCTCCAGAAGCACAACAGTACATTTCTAGCTGCTCTTAAGGGCAGAGCTGGTCTTTAATCTGCTTCACATACACTGCATAACAGTGGCAAAGTCAAGAAAGAGATCCGGAAGTTTTCTCCAATTCTTCTAGACTTCCCTAGCAACCTTATTCTGCTGTGCAAAGAGCAAGCAGTATTTTCCACAGCACACAAGGACTAAGATAAGTGTGCACATAGACCACAAATATTGTGATGACATTGTACTTTTATCTAGTTTTTCTAAAAAGAGAAATGAAAGGATCTTGGATGGAACTAGAACAACTGGTTAACACTGCATCAAAATACCCAGATTCAATAACAACCTCAGTAATGTTTTTGCTATCTGCAGCTAAATTACAAGAGGCTGTAAAAGCTTGGCATGAATGTCCAGACAGCTGGACAAAATAAATTTATTACAGTGGCCTGTGGCTAAATAAGAAATTATAATTTAGCCCATTTACAAATTAATAAGTGTAGCTGGCTTGCTACACAAACAAGGCTGGGATCCACCATATCATCACTAAATTGTTCTGATTTGCCATGGCAGTCATTTGTTGTTTGGGTGAATACAGAGAGGATGGATAAAGAACATGAGCAAATAGAGAAGGAGGCCTTTAAGGAGGAGGGTTGAGTTGTTCCTAATGTTACTTATTACACAATACATCGATATACTAAACAGTAGAATTCTCATTGACTCACTCTTACAGTATGAGCATCAACTTCTTTTGCAGTAGTACCAACTGACACTTCCTTTTTGCTTTCTCATAAGAGAAAACAAAGTTTTTTTCCATCTAACGTACAACAACAAAAAAATTGGAAAAAAAAATCAACCTTATACAGTATATTTTAAGCAATAAAATCACCATACAAACACAATCAAGGATTGAAGTTTTGCATGCTGAATGAGTATTTTATTTATAACCAGTTTATAAAAATAAAATACAAAATAATTTGAAAACAAAACTTAAAACATTGTACAAAGCCTTGATATGGTACAAATGAGAAAATAAATAATTACACCTTTATGTACAAATGACCATTACAAGCGCATCAACTCTCTTATGTTCTTGGTTGCCTGAGCAAACTTAAAAGAAAAAGAATGGCTTAGAAGATTTCCTAGGAGGGGAAAGAGAACAGCAATTATTGAGCAAAATAATTTTGAAGGACTCAACATTTGTCTTATCCAATGGTAACAAATAACCTCAGAACTACTTTGCATTTAATTTAATCATGATGCAGATCAAGTACTTAATTCCTTATGGAGCAACAACATTGTATTTTTAGCTAATAGACCAATTTCATTCTTTGTGGTATTGCCCAGAGATTTTCAATTAGCAGCCATTGGTTTGCAGCTTCAAAAAGTCAGTACTTGTCTGAAGGCATTGCTGGTGATTTCCTTGATTTAGCAGTTTGGATATTCATAGGAAAGCATTTGAAAATTGACACCTGTTCTCTCTCTCTCTCTCTCTCTCTCTCTCTCTCTCTCTCTCTCTCATACACACTGCAGCTCAATTCTGGGTTGATTCTACAGAAAATCAGTTAGAAGTTCAAGAATAATTTTAAGTGTTGCATTCCAAACTAAGAAAGCAGAAGATGCAGAGAAGGCTGCTGGCCAATCATTCCAGATCTCCAGTCATACCAGAGAGAAGGAAAAGTTGTGAAATGGACCAAAATCCCTCACCACATCTTATGTCAAACCCTTCTGACCTTGTCTGCCACAATCCAGATCAGGATTTAAAAGAATCTGAAGCCATGCAGACCAAGCTGGTCAACATTATGTACCTTCGAGAGCAAGCTGGCCTGCTGCTACTAGAGGTCCCTTACATAAAAGTTCGGTCAAAGATCAAGTGATGGCAAAATGAAACAAACATCTGTAACCAATTAATACTAGCTGAATTACCACAGCCAACTGGGGACCATCAGGACCCTGTATGAGTAGCCCACCTGCAGTATTGTTTTCAAAAGAAACAGTGGACTCAGTACTCCTGGCCTAAGCTGACTAACAGCAGTAATTCTTACAGAAAGTAAGGGATCAAAAAGCAAGTCATGTCGCAGTCTTTCCCAAAAATATGCATTTTCCAATTTAAAATAAAGTAACTGAAAATGCAAGATTTATAAGTGAATTTATTCCTTCAGACCCTACGCAGGAAAAAAAAAAAAGCTAAACAAAACTAGGGTCTATTTTAATGAAAGTTTCACTTGCACAAGAACAGAAAGGATCCAAGCTGTTTATGTGGACTGGGGAGAAACAGGAGCAAAACACAAGCTAACATCTGCACTACAAAAAAAGGCATTGCTCAACACTTAGAGCAGAAACTTCAAATCCACATTCATTATTATTTGTACGTACAACTTTGTGCGTTTAAATTTTGCATTGCATTAGTGGGAATCCTGACATACTTGAAACAAAACCAGAATTTCACCCAGGATTTTGGCACCAAAATTAACCCGTGAGCTGGAACTCTTCTGTAGTAAGGAAGGAGCAGGGTACACAGGTCTTGTTGCAGAGCACTGCAACTAAATTCCTGTTCTCTGAAAGACAATTTCTCTATTGCAGCAGTAGAGGAAAACCAGCCAGTCTCTGGAAGCTGTGGGTACCCCTTGCAGCCCAGGTTCAGCTTCCCTGCTGGGGTTTGCAGGTCGCAATTTGCTCTGCGCTAAATTTGTTGTGTCAACCACATGGTTGTTTTTATTGAAGAAATCTCCCAAAAGGAAAATACGTAACTCCTGTAGACAGCCCACATAATTGCCAGCCATTGTAGAAAGTTAGAAAAGCAATGCTTATTAATCCCACAAAAGTATAAAGTTCTTGAGGTGTTGTCACTGCTCCTGTTAAGAGAGGATGTGTTACCAGCAACAGAGAGTAAAATCACCCTATGCACTCAATCCTGAAAGGCTGGAAAAATTGCCAAGTCAATACTTTAGACTTTAAAATAATACATTCCTCTTATTCCTCTTCAATTCTTCCTTAAAAACAAACAAACAAACACTCAGAGGTTAATATTAAAAATCTGGTTACTTAGACCACCAAATGAGGCTTGTTGCTACTGTGATTAAATAAACTCAGCATTTTGCAATATCTTAAGATAACTCCAGGTAGTTATTATAGAATCTAGACTGAATTTCATAACATTTCTCTTTTACAAATGTTACACATAGGGGAGAGGAAGACTGGCTTCAAGTGAATAGCTGAGGTATCCTTGTGTGAGGTGAGTGTGTTTATGTGGTTGCACACATTGGCTAAGAACAGCATGATCCACACCTATGGACTGCATGGAGCTGAAACACTGAACCTTGCTTCCTTTTATCAAAGTTACCAGTCACTGCAAATTGTGAACAAGACATTTCAGCCAAATCAAAACAGCAAACAAAATCCTTCAGTTCATTGCCTACTTGGTTTGCTAAAGAAGTTGAATAAAAATATTCTATGGAGAATGCACTACATGGGATCATGGTATTAACCTAGACACCTGAGAACCCTCTTGCACACTGGCATTGAACAGACAAAACGACCTCTCACCACCCTGCAGGATCATTCCTGCATTAAAAAAAAAAAACAAAACAACAACTTATATCAGAATATTCCATGAATTAGTTATTGAGCTCATTAGTGAGTTTGAGCTCCCTTTTATTCTCTTGTTTCTTCTGGAAGATTCAATTTCTTTCTCATTTTTAACATTCATACAAAAATTGTAGGCAAATATTCCTGGTTTGCAACTAAACCTTTATAAAACATTGAAATAATCATCTTTTTAGCAGAATTTCTGCTTCTTACTGTCCTACAGAAATCTCTATTTCACTATGGAAAAAAATCTGTTTACAGGAAAGTCCCCACCATTTAACTGGCATTGTCTACATTCGTATCAAAGAGAAAAATAACACATTTCTAGGAGCACTGTGATCAACCGTTGTATAAATGTTACTGGGATAAGAAAGACTTACAGCACTTTTGCCAAAAGAGAACTACAGGATCAGGCCCTGTAAAACTGAAGAGAATCAACATTAGGGCATGGCAAAATTATGGCAGATAAAGCAGAGAAATCAGACCAAGTCAAAGCACCACAGACCTCAGCTCACTCTGGTAAATGAGTTTAAGTAAACAGGATGCAACAGCTGAGACTGTTTCTACCTATATACACACATAAGCATGTGTATATACATATATAAATAACATATATTTCTATATAGCATACAGTATTTAGGTAAATGTGTATATTCACACATGTACAAAGGTATATTTATATATATATTAAAAAATTAAAATTCTGTGTTTTGCCAGCGATAATCAATGCCATAATAATTATAAATTCTAACTGGCAGAGCTCTTGCAAGCCTTTTTCAGTTGAAAAATCTCTGAAACATACAGCACTACACCTTTCCTTCTACACCATGACTGTTTTGTGAGGTATGATAGAAAACTTGATCTCAAGCATGGAGACTTCAAGGCAAGAATACGTTCAGATTTTCCAAGTTACTGCTGGTGGCTATAACTCCCCAGAGGTCTGTGCCTCCTGAATAACTGCACATACTAGCAGTTAAAACCTCCTATTGCTCCTGCTTTTGAACACTGAAATTGTTCAAAACTTACTGATCCTACTCAAATAGATAGGTGCCTACCATCATATGACTTGCCAATGTCATTATACTGTATGACAACTCCTGTTATTTTTAACAGTTTTACTTAGCAATTAGAATTCGCAATTAATAACAAATTTTGTTGATATTAATATTGATTTTCAAGGCTGTCACTCAAATTCAGTGTATCACGTAAAATTGCAGGACATAATTTTTTGTGACATGTTCTATCTTTTCAAGTTCGATTTTATTTTACAGGCTTCTGCCTCAATTTCTCTAAAAATGCTTTAAAGTGTTGGAAAAAACAGCACAGGTAACACTGTGAAAAGGAAATACACATGCAGCATT